TTATATTGAAGAGGATGATGAATATAATGGATATCATATTCCCGCAAATTCAGTTGTACTTTTAAATATATATGGAATTCATTTTGATGAGAAAAGATATGAAAATCCTAAAGAGTTTAGACCTGAGAGGTTTTTGGGACTTACGGAAAGAAGTGCAGTTTTAGCAAATGGAAATTATGAGAATAGAGACCATTTTAGTTTTGGAGCTGGAAGAAGACTCTGTATCGGGATTCATTTAGTATGTGTGATAAAATAGTAAAATTTTAAATTAAAATTAAATTATTTATAAAATTCCGTTTTTAACTCTTAATTATTTTTTTTCATAAACATTGAATATAGGCTGAGTTAGAACTTTTGTTGAGTGTCTCGCGTCTTCTTTGGTGTTTCCGAATAGAAAATGCATCACCATTAGGCAAAGATGGAAAACCAGTACCAATTAATTTAGACAAAGCACGTCTAGGTATCACTGCTTGGCCTGAAGAATATTGTGTTAAATTAGTTAAAAGACACGACAATGTTGAAAAGATTCTGTTTGATTCAAGTCAATAACTATTACTTGATGTAAAAATGACCGTTACCTCTTAAATAAAAGGTATTACACGTCAAGATAGCATTGAAGTTCTAATAAAACTTATAAAATTCAACAGGAGTAAGAAAATGAAAGGAGCATTCATGTTGATTTTTATCGTGAGATGCTTTCTCCCTATCATTTTACTCGGAATTTATTTAATATCTCTATACATACATTTAGAGTTTTTAGAAGAAATGAAGAAAACACATAAAAGCAGTTATAGTTATTTTCTGCTTCACCTGTGATTTTTATTAATGATCAATTGCCACATTTGGTTATTATTTCATATTTCAAACTAACGAAACTAAGCAAACATATCCATCCAAGTATATACAAAAGTTACTTTCCACCTCTAATCCATCAGAGCGCTTTACAGTCGTTTCTGTAATTTATCAAGGAATAGGGGATATGTGGTTTATGAAGCAATCATGATGACAGGAACGTCACCAAATCCCCAGGTTGATTTTATTTGTGTCTATATGATTGGCACGCTTCTGAAGGCTATAATCTGTGGATGATATTTATAGATCATTATGAAATCGGATTGAAATGAAATTTGAGGTTTCTATTTAACCTCCTAAAACCCACTCTCACTGAGTGCCCCGATTTTTCCAGAGTTCCAACGGTCCGGTGAGAAAAACCTTCGAACAAATTTGATTATTAACAATCAAATCAACCAAAATATCTATTATTAGCGAAGCTTTACACTTTGTTTTTTAAATAGTAATTCTATTTTATCCTATCAACACAACCTTTATTAAAGACGCGTCATGACATAGATCATCTAATTAATACTAATAATAAAACGGTGACGTTTTATAGGGCTGGGGCTTTATTTGCGCATTAGTCCTAAATTTTAATATGAAGGTGGTAGAGTTAGTACATATAATAAGTTATAACAAAAAATTAACCGTTAATACACGAATAAATAGAATGCGTTAATTTTAAATAGCATATTTTTATGTTATATTAACACACACCATACAACTTATTGAGTCATAAAGATAGTAATCACTGATAAGCCAGGATATTTGTCAACGTACGCGTCATTCTTCAATTTATGTATTATTCGTATATTAGAAATAATAAATCGACGCAGCCAGGGCGGCCCCCCCTAAGTGCGGATCACGGGTCACTGTCGCCACATTCATGTAATAATAATATAACG